AATTATCAAACTCATATAAACTTAAAAAATGTGATAAGCTTTTAAAAGTAGAGATTTCAAGCTTTAAAACCCTTTTTTTAAATTTGAATTTCATTCATTATTGACGAAGATATTGTATATACAACTTTGAGCTAAAAAATACGCGATGACTTTTTATTCAACCTAATATTTTAAAAGAGACAACTACGCACATAAATCATTGTACAAGATTGACTTGTATATCTAAAAGTGGAAAATCGTGTGCCTCTCAGGAAACGGGAGATCACTCAGGGTCATGACCGCGACATATGTCGAAGTTAAGGTTATTGGAGTTCTAGACTCCTAATCGATACTTTTACCAATGTAATTCATGCGATTTCTATTTTTAATTGCAATTAATGCAGTTTGTACAATTAATAATATAATTAATTTTTTGTTTTCATGTATACTCCGCAATATAAAAAAAATAAAGGGTAATTTTGGAATTATTTGTAGATAATTAAAGAAACATTTCACTTTTTTATTAATTTCTATTCCGTTCAATAGACCTTAATCATTATAAATATCATAATAAGAGAGATCTAATTCTCCTATTTGCTCTCTAAATTTATTTTACAATAGTGACCAATTGACATGTACATGATATTCATTTTTAAAAGTTTAAAGTTAAATTTTTTGCATTTGTATATAGTATACTATATTAAATGAGTCAGTAAAGTTTGAGCTTTAATTGAGCTAACGGTATTAACTTCTTGTTCGAAAAAGATTTGAATTTTTATTTTCAATATTACAGAATTACAAGTATATTTTAGTGATTAATTTTTTTTATGTACGATGATCGCGTCGCTGTTCCTCGCATCAAATGCCAGTGAATGCATAGTTCGTACCAATGAAAAGTCGAAATTACTTTCATAGTGGAAAATTATTCTTCGTTGTCTTCCGTGAAATCCATTTGCGGAGTCTAATTGGCGCCTTTGAAAATTCTTACGAGATAGGAACTAATCCTAAGTTTTCTAAGTAGTTCTTGGAAGTAATAATTTTACCAATGAATTATATAACAATTATTGTATATTTTAAAATTGAGTAGCAAAATTAATTCGGTGAAATATTTTAAAATACAATTTTTGTCGCTTTCTTTTATACTTAAGTCGTTTTTCTATATTTTGGACTGTATTATTAAAAAAGATTAATTCAACAGCAGTTTTGACGTACAGTAAGTAGATGATTACTTGTGAAGGCAATTTACACTGAAGAGAACGTTTGTGAGTGATATGAATTATTTAACATATAATAAAGTTTACGCACACCAACACTAACAAAAATGCCGTTACAAATGCGTACATATAATTCTCTAATTGTTGATTGTTTTAAAAATTATTTTCAGGTACTGGCTGTACCGCCATTCAAGGTATTAATTAATTTTGTAATAGCAGATAATACACACATATATATATATATGTATATATGTATATATATCTATATAATACATATATACATATATACTTATATACATATATACAGGATATTAGTTAAATATATTGCTCAACAGAGCGATTCTTTGGCGATTTATTTCAAGTTAAAAAATTCATATAAACAAACGGTGTAGATGTCCTAAACGACTTAGTTTCCGAAATACAGATGAATGTTCGCAAATGTTTGACGACGAAACGGTGAATTGCATTGGAGATATCTTCTTGCATAAGTATGTCTTGCTTCACGTGAGTTATCATCCGCACAACCGTAAACAAAGTGACAAAGTTAAAGTCAAAGCCTCCTAGATCAGCAGACTTAAATCCTTTAGATTATTTCCTTTGGGGACATCTGAAATCATTGGTTTATACCACCCCATTAAGAATGAGAA